TTTTTTGTGACCTCCAGTATTATTTAATTCAATGCATGTTCTATTTCTGTTAATAAATTAGTAGATGCGCATGTTAGGACTTAGGTAGTTAGTTGATTTTGTCTTTTGAAAGCATGCTATCAAGTCATGGATATTATGATGTGTTGCTCCGAGCTAGCATTGACATGCATGGAAATAATAAAACTTGCTGCCAGATTTTTGTTCTTGTGAATCTTCAAGTGAATGCACAATTGTCTAACTAATTTTAAGCATGAGAAGTCTTAGATTTGCCATCTTTGAGTAGGTTCTTGTTCCTTTTTCATGTCGATGATGATAATTAGGAATATGCATGAGCTTTGTTTTCTACTATTTAGGTCAAGCTATGACTCATTTGCCACGTCGTTTTAAGATAAACTAACTTCTGCTTCTTTAGCTTTAACCTTTAAACTTTTTACATCTTTTAAGAGGATCCTTGTCCTTTAATGGTATAAAAATTTTACGCACCACTAAAATTTTTTCACACTTAAAACCAGTGAGGACACTGTCTCCTTCAAGTTTGGTGGAGTCGCTTCCCTCAAGTTTGGGGGAGTAGCGTAAGCAAGCCTAATAGAATGCAGTGAAAAAAAATAAAATAAAATAAGAAAGGTAAGAAAAAGTGTGGAAAAACGAAGAAAAAAGTGGCAAAAGAAAAAAAGGAAAAAGTGATAGAAATTTTTGCAAAGAAAAGCAAAATGAAAATAAGAGTGGAAAGACAAAAGCGTGAAAGGAGAAAATATGTGGCAAGAGAACTTAATGAGAGAAGAAAAGTAAGGAAGCTTGCCTTAACTCAGTTCCCACTCTGTTTGCAAAAAAATTCTCACTTAGGGATACTCATAATTTTATGGTAGCAACTTTGATCTAGTTTGCCTTTGTGCAACTCACTAATCGACAAGCTCGGATTGGTTGCCAGCATAGAGAATCCCTTAAGTGACTGTCCTGTTTTCGAGTCATTTTTGTGCTAGAAAATTTTCATTAAAGGGAGTGTGCATAGTCTCTACTGGATTTGAAAAAGTTTTTTGAGTTAGACAATAGAAGAATTTGAAAAGCTTTTATCTTTTAAACAAAGGTGACCTTATCATGATTTTGCTTGAGAAAAGTAGTAGGGATTAGGGCTTTGACGTTCCTCCTGAGACACCATATGAGCAAATTACTCGGCTCTACTTGATGTTTGGTTTATTCTTGAATTTTGCATGCTTATTATTGATTTGATAGTTGTTGTTCTTGCTTGGGGACAAGCAAAGTCTCAAGTTTGGGGGTGTGATAAGTCTTGAATTTTAGGAAAAAGTGTTTACAAATTGTGCATGTTTAGTGTCTTCTRAAATTAAATACGTGTGTTTCATGCATTGAATCCGRTATAAATGGGACTATTTCTTAGGAAARACTTGTACACTTGGTTTTGGATAAATAGATGGAATTATGAGGAAATATATATGTTTTATAGGGGAAAAAGGAAGGAAAAAGCAGCAATGCACCTGCTGCATATGACACAGA